GAGACCTTATCCTGTAGGTGGAACTGAACTGTTCGTTTGCTTCAGTAAGGTACAGCGAGACTCTGCCTTGATGACCTGCAGAACTTGCTCGTGTGATAGGCTATCAGTATATCTATTTAAATGTATTGGTTTCCTAACCAGAATTTTGTTTATCCTGTAATGTTTCTGCACAATGAGAGAAGACAGAGAACATTTCAGAGGGCATGTTTTTGTCTTTTGCATACTCTATTATATTTTTGTCTTTCCTCAAGCATCACAAGGAAATATGTCTCCTCTGAGATATGTGCAACTGCCAAACAAATTTAAAGTATCCATGTAAACAGAGGCATAGAAATATTCAAGAAGATTGTCTTACGGCTAAAAATAAACATGGATATACTTTCACTATGAGCAGGCATTCTGTTAAAAAAGGAGGAATATGTTTTCTAGCTTACTGCTCATGTGAATGTTTTTTTCTTCTTCTAGAAAAATGTGTTGGGTGAGAAGAAATACGATTATTTTATGTCTTTCCATAACATTTGACATATACAATTTGTCTATGACTACCTTCTGAATTGTCCCTATGTAGGTTGTAACAAAAGACATAACTGGCTTTAGTCTAGAAAGACTCCCCAGGAAAGGCACATCAGCTTTCTCTTGAAGTACCCCCTTCGTTGGTCACTGTATTCCCGTGGGTGAATGTAGCTCTCATCAAACCAGCTCTATACATCCAGTTGAGCTCTGGAAAAGCACTTGGATATTGAGGCTTGTGTTCATGCTGCTGCCTGTTCCTTTATGTGCTATTCTTCTTTTCTGCTAGTTTCTTGTTTTTCCTAGGTCTCTTATTTTATAAGAGGCAGCTTAGTCAGCCAAAACCTCCTCCTCCACAACACTACTTAGCAAGAGCCTGAAGCTGGCTGATAAGTTGGAGGGGCTGATAAGTCTTTGTGCTTTGCTTGATTAAGGGTAACTGCTCACCTGCAGCTGCACGAGGAGTCGCTGCGGCAGAAGCTGCACTTTCTGGTTTAGCTGTCGTTTATCTCCATTTCAGGTCTCTGTCCTTCCATAAGAAAGCAGGAGATGGAGCCCCAGCCCATCCCAACTGCTGCTATCACATTTCCCCCTCATTTTTCAATATCACCCAAAACATGCTGGCATAGGTTCTTCTCATAAAAACACTATAAATAAGGGTAAATTAGCTAAGAAAAAAAGTCCCTTAAAATGCTTTATATTTCCAATGCTTTGCCTGTCTACCTCCTTTTTTTCAGCGTATTTAACAAAAGTTGGCACATGGCTTGACACCCCAAAGTTGGTTAGTATAGCGCAGGGACAAAGGCTGTTCCTCTGTCTTTAAACCTGTGGGCTCATTCTCCTGACTGAAGTAACCACGGACTCATTTCTTCTCAGTTAAAGCTCATGCTTGTTATAATCCACTTGATGAACATGCAGTAGTGGATGTGCCGGAGCAAACTTCATTCAAGAGGCAGGATAATCTCCCTCACTTGAAAATCTGGGCCAGTGCCTGTAAGGTAGATTTGTGGCATCTATCAAACCTCAAAGAGCAGCAAGAAATGTAGCCTCCAAAAGGATTATTAAATATCTGTGCATTACAATGGGTAATTGAAATGAATAGCATACTTGGCTTGCTGATAACGACTTGTTTAACATTTATATAGTTCACATCAGAGGCCTATGGGTTCACTGGCTCCCCCTTTCTCTCCTCTTCCGGCATTTAATGCTCCTTGGGTGTTGACACAGAGCTCCTAAACAACATCAGTGTTCTCCCAGTTAAAGCATAGAGCAAAATAAACTGGCAAAAAATCAATAGGCTGTATTTAGTGAAGCTAATAGGACTTGCATGAGGCATTGTAGCTCTTCAGGCAACTTAAATTACATGAGACAGGCTCCCTAGAAGAGAAAAAACACTTTTCTCTTCTTAAATCACCGCTTCTGACCAGCTGAAAGGACTTAATTGTGTTTTGAAATGCCAGGAGGAGCCCAGCTTTCTTGGCTCCGGCTGCCTGCTTCAAGCCCCCTCCGGGTGTCCTGGGTGGGGGGCACCGGGCTGGGAGCACCCGTGGCGGGGCGAGCGGCCTCTCTGGCTGGAGCACACCTAGAGCTACCTGTCGCTGCTTGCTCGTGCCTCATGAAAGAGCCGAAACAGAGACCCGGCAACACAGGGCTGAGCCCCTCAGCAGAGAAGGGCTGTGTCCCCGCAGCAAAACACCGCTGGTTGGGATGGCCTCATCTTCCCCAAAGATAAGGCTGTGCTAGCTCCTTCAGGGAGGGCAGGTCAAGCCCTCGGTGCAGGCAGGGAGGCTCGACACACATCTCTGGTCCAGGCAATCTAAGGTTCTCCCTGTCGTCTAAAACCTGCCAACTCCTCACTGGGAATTTATTTCCTATTAGTTTCTTTAACTTAGCTAACATGAGATAAGAACACTCCTTTTCCAAGTGAAAATTCACCAACTGTAATTCTCAGCACAGCACTAGCAGTTTGATAGACCTGGCTATTTGTTAAAAGTCCAATTTAGAAGCAATTGTCACTCATTGTGAGAGCAGTCATCAATCAAAAATTGCAGGAGCAACCGTGGTGAGGAGCGTACAGTGCTCCAGCTCACACCTAATTCTGGAGCGCTTCAACTACTATGCGTTTTTTCCTTTTAGGGGAAAAGTTGTTCTTTCCTCCTCTCAGAATACTTCGGCCAACTGCAAAGGTGGTCGCTTATTTATGGGAATTTGGGTGACATCACCTGAGAACATACCATTCAAATAAGCAAAAACATCTTAGTTGTGTTTATTTTGCTGGACTTTTGTGTGTGTGTACATTTTGTTTTGCTGGACCCCTGATTTTGCAGCTTAAGTAATTTACCTTAAAAAAATCCTTACTGGGGTTAGTTACTGGTTTAAACTGGTATTTGCTGTGCTGTGGCTAGGTGCAAATTTCTCCTCTGTGGAATCACCGTTTACTTTTATGGGCTGCATACAAGAAATCTGAGTTGGTGGCAGGCAGAGGGACCCTCCTGTGTCCCTGCATCCTCTGTAGGGTCCCCAGGTCCCCCTCAATGACAACTTTGCTTTACTGCAAAGGAAGATGAAGAGGAACTGCTTGGTTGCTCTGAAGCATTAAGATAAATGGCCTGACACTGACTTCTTCCTGGCAGAGAAATTCCAGAGTCGGGAACTCCGGAACATTAGAAATGATGGAGATTATTGCTAATAAACAAAGGCGGTAGCTTAATGCTGCTGATCAGTGCTGCCATGATTCACACCAGGGGGATCATGTCTCTCTCCTGCTTACACCTCTCCCACGGATTCATGTGAGTGGAGCTCCTCCTCGTTTTGGTCGGGATAAATAACATCAGAATCTGGTCTGCTGTCCTCTGCATCTTAATAAAACCCTGTGTTAGTGCTAAATGAGAAGCATGTGTGAAAAGCTGAGTACCAGCCCCTCTGAATGCAGCAATTGCAAAGACACTGAGAACGCCTCTAAATTCATACTTTAGAGTCACAGCTCAGAAGCTGCCTTTAATTACCAATGCTTCAAGACCAGTCACCCAAATAAATTAATGGAATAGTTTAGAGGAGCCACTACAAGGCATCTTGCCAAGACATATATGCTTCTTTATCAGTGACATTGGCAAGAGAGTAACTTTCAGGCTTAAGATTTTCAATTCCAGCCTGTATGAAAAAATAAATTGATTTTCACCAACTGAAGATACTTACTCTTGAGGATTTAAAATTTCTGTACAAGTGAATATATATGTACACACATACACACACTCTCACAGTCGTACTCCAAACTGCACATTAAACCCGGCATTTGTTCAGAGAGAGAGGGCATCCTTTGCAAGATATGAAGGATTTCTGGCATGATTTATAATGAACGCTAGATGCTGTTTCTAAATTAATTGATCTGTGTTTGTTCCTGCAACTCGATCTGCATTGCCAGGGAATAAATAGCTTCTCAAAAGTTCTTTTCATTAAGTTGAAATCTGCCAATACCAATGGTTGGTAAAACTCTCTCTTCTTCTTCCCATTTGCCGTAGCTGGTTAGCTCAGCTGCTCAGGCAAAAACCTTTGTGGGAGCAAGATTGCTCGCTGTGGGTCTGCCCCAGGGATGTGTTTTGGCTTGGTTCAACAGGGAACTTCTGCAGTGACTTCGGTGAGCTCTGCAAGAACCCTCGGTCAGCCTGACCATGGGCAGAGAACTGGTTAGCGCTTTGGGGACCGTCTCAGGGAACAGTGTGCAAGACCTTGGCCTTCCTCTTCCTCCCATTTCCCATTACTCCCTGAGCTCAGCTCCGGGATTGTCCTCTCCTCCTGCGGCCCTAGATCCCACTTTGTCAGACCTCCCAGGTGCCGGGAGGGCCGCAGGCCCCGAGAGGGTTCAGCAAAGGACAACGATGGCCACAGCCACCAGTCACAGACGAAGGGGGCTGCAGGGCCCAGGCTGCGGCTTGGTGGGGTCGGTGTTTGTGGTCTGCAGCTTTAACATGGAGAAGCGCAGGAGTGAGGTCCTAATGTGAGGGGAATGATTTTGGGGAACAGTCATACAAGGAGCAAGGCAGCCATTTGGGCTAAGTCCTCGTGGATAATCTACAAAATAGGTACAACGGGGGATCCCAGTCAGGATGCTGCTATCAGCCTTTTCTCCCAGCAATGGCAGTCTGTTCAGCAAACTGCAGGAGTGCTTGACCGCCAGATCTCCAGGAGCTTTTCAAGAGCAGCAGTTGCACAGCAGCTGTCTCTCTCCTGGTAACCCCCCTTTTAGCAGGGCAGAGGAAGGTGACACGAAGCCCCGTGCAGTTTGCCATTCCTTCAGTGCCACCCATCCAGAGGGAGTGCAGATTCTCAGCAGACACCAGAGGTGCCCGTTGCTCTGTCCTTCAGACCTTTTTGGTGTTTGGCAGATGCCCCCATGAAGGTGGCTCTGGCAGAGCAGCCGTACTGAAACCACGGCGGGATTTGCCCCGTCATTTGACAGAGACCTCACTGAGGGGTGGGAGAAGTTCTGGCTCTCCTGTGTTTCTCTGTACATGAAGGACAAGTGAACATAGCATCCCACACGAGCGCTCTCACTGCTCCAGTAATGCTTGTCAGAAGGGACAACCCTGACAATTCATCTCCAAACAACAATACTAATAAAAAAGAAACAGGAACATACACTGCATCAGTAAACCCTGCCAAATGCCCGTTAGAAGCCTGAAGAATGATTCTGATGGATAACGATATGAAACAATAAATATACTGTCTCCTAGATGATTTTTAAAGAAGATAGTTTCCTTTCATTCCCATTAAAAACTCTTATTGGAACGAGTAGTTAAAACACAACAGTAAAAGTTTGTCTTTTCCTAATAGCTGTTGTAGGTTTATATTGCTTTTGGAAGGTAACGCAACACATCTGACCATGCCAAACACAAAACTGCATGCACCAGCTCTACTGCAGAAAGCAAACTAACCAGCAGCAACCTGCTATTCTATGCAACATTTTCATTTCCCAGAATTAATTAAAGGTCAAACCAAACAAAATCCTCCATGTTTCTTTACCAATCTGTGTTCCTGCCTGGTAAAGTAAGCATAGAGATTCAGAAAGTGTAGTGGCTCCTTAACCAAGTCCTAGCCAACAAAAGTTGCAGAAGAATGCTGCTGTTTCTTGTTATTAAAATTCAGCACATTGGCTTCCTTTAATGGGTCTTGGCAATTAAACTGCTGACGGCCTAGTCTAGCTGCCTTTACACTGTGCCTGTTCAAATTATTGCAGTATTCCAGGCACAACCTGCTTTTTAAACATGAACTATGTTTGTCACACTTTGGCCCATATATTTCCTTCTGAATTAGGGTGACCACAGGGGGAAGGAATATTTCCCAGCGCTGCTCGCAGCCGAGGGGCGGGGGGAGGCAGCCCCGTTCCTGCAGCCGAAGGCTCTGATCTGCCAGTGCTCCTGTTGCCTTGCTGACAAAGTGCCCAGGGAGAGCATCGGCATCGGCGCCGGCCGAGTGCTGCAGCCAGGCCTGAGCTCTGACCGGCGCGCTCTCACTTTCTTTCCATTTTTGAGGCAATAGCGAAATATGAATGCTCTTAGCACCCCCCTCTGCAGTGTTGGCTAACTTCTCTCTTTAAAGAGAAGAAATTAATGTAATTTGATTCTGATGCATTGGTGCTGTTACCTTGCACCGGGTTTCAGAGGTTAATAAAACTTGACTACATTAATGTGAATACCTGAAGGACAAGAAAGATATTTCAGCTGTAAAAAATACTGGTCAGGGAGGGCACTTTGCAACATCTGTCCAGCTTTAGGTTTCATTTGTTCTCTTCTCTGTCCCTGAAGGTTGGCTGGGTCAGCCTCAGGGGCTCTGTGGAGCTGTTACTGCAGAGACAAGGAAGGAGCTGCGATGGGTGAGGTGTGGAAATAGGGAAGAGACTTTAGGGAATGTAAGATTTTTCTGTGGGGCTTTAATATAAGATACACCTGTCCTGTTGTGCCTAATATATGCTTCGTTTTAGGGTCTCTGAGCCAATATTGGGTACAGTCTCTGAAGCTGTAAAATCAATATAATTTCATAATTGTGACTTCAATTAGCAATGGGGAGAGGGGAAATTAGCCATGATGTGAATCTAGGTAAGCTAAACTGACAGGGGTCAAAGTCTTGACAAGGATGCGAGACTGAAACAACCTGCTTATAAGGAGAAGCAGTGGTGGCTTAGGAGGCTTTTTGTCTTTGGTTCTTTGTTCTCACTCCCGTTGGCCTGAGAGCATTGCGTCTCTGCCTGGATGGTAGTAAGCCTTTGCCTGGTCTCACCTTGAAGAAGGTCATAGTAGCTCCATCCTTCACTGCTCCATACTCTATTTTCGTCTGCTTTGCCAAGTCATCTGCCGAGTCGATGGGGGATTCCATCCTCTCCACCGTCAGGAAGGCGGCAAGGTTGGCCGTGTAGGACGAGATGATAATTAGGGTGAAGAACCACCATATGCCACCAATGATCCGTGTAGACAGTGCTTTGGGCATCAGCTCAGAGCCTGGAGTGGGAGACGGGGAAGGAGAAAGAGGGAAGAGGAAACAGAGAGAGAAAGGACCCGGTTCATATATACATATGTACGTTATGTATCCATAAAGGATTAGGTTTCACTGTCAAAACTGCAATAGCTACGCAATTAAAGCCAACTGTTTTTGAGGCAAATTATCCAGACATCTTGTGTGCAAGGAAATCAGTGGGGTTTTTGTAGCATGTGTAGAAAAACCCTCTCCCTTTATTGCTGACCTTGGGTACAGTGCACAATTTACAGGAAACATTCAAACTGAAGTAATTAACTAGGCTGCTTTTATGAGATTTAAATAGCAAGCCATTTATGAACTTTTATGAGTGTTTTGTTCTGCCATTTAAAAAATGCTTTGGTTTTATATGGATTACTTTTCAAAGGACTCACTCTAGGGAGTGTGTTCAAATACACAAGATTTAAAAAAAAAATCAAACAGCGAGAGAAAGGAACTATCAGGGTCCAGTACTTTGAATACTGGTTAGAAGTAGGGAAGCGGGAGATATTACAGCATAAAAGGTGTAACAGGTCTGGAATGACTTTTCTTGAGCAGACATGAAGGACTAAATGTGTTGTGCTATTTTTGTAATGGCCCAAGACACTTTTTAAAGCCAGAAAAGAGCTTTGGGTTTGAAACAACTGTGTTCCGAGAATATATCCGACCTGGAATTTGTAACAAAGATTGGGCTTTGCAAAGCAATTTAAGCAGTGTGGCATCAAACTATAGCATGGACTGTAGCTTTTCTCCTATCTGAGTGCAGCAAGGAGGCACCAGGAAGCAGAGGAGCCTTGGATATCGAGGGCTGCTTCGGTTCTTCTCAAGATCTTGCTTCTTTCCCATTCCGTCTCTTGCCCTTTGATGCATTGGACAGTGTGACATCAGTCTAGCTTTGAAATATTTTTCTTCTTAGATGCAGAATAAAGTTAAAAAGAATACAGCTCTTTTCATTTATCAGCATCTGATAAGAGGATGATTCATCCTGTTAAACCCTCTTGCTGGGAACTGTCACTGTCCATCAGGGCAGCTGAGATCTGGGAAGAATCTCTATTACACGCTGCAGCAGGTAGAGCACGGAGCAGTAGCACCGTGCATGCCACCAAACTGATGCTGTGGTTCTTTTGCTCTCTGGGTGTAACTACTGATACATGGTAAATTAAAGTGTGACAAATGTTTGACATTTTCCACTTATTTCTATTCCTGGATTTTCTGCAATTAGATCAGAGCTGAATTTCGTTCCTTATTCAGAGTTGCTCACAAGCTCCCCGTCTGCTGTCTTCCTAACAGATTTACTCTATTCATTCCATCTACATATATTCCATTTGCTCTATTCCATCCACAGATATGAATGTAATCCCATCCATACCCCATTTCTGACGTCCCTGTCATTGTGATATCTTACATCAGTAACACTGAAAACGTTCAGTCTCGCACGCAGTGGCTGCCAGCAGAGCTGCCTGGAGGAGCTCCTCGCCATCCTCTTTGACCCAACAGCCTTTGCCCTGTGCTAGAGGGAGTTTCAGGCCATTTCACAATGTGCAGAATGACCAAATGAGGATAAGAATGGAGACAGACCAGAGGGCAAGATGCCCTGTCTTCTGTAAAAGTTGATGTAAAACAGAGTGAGCCAGGACAGAGATCTTGAAATTAAACAAATTGCTTGAATTAACAGAAGTAGGAATTTACAGAATCTGTGAGATGCTGCTGAGTTTGGTGAATTAAACAGCTGAGGGAGACGAAGGCAGTGTTCCTCCTCGGGGCACAGTGGGTGGGTGCTCCTCTGTGCACACCAGCAGCAGGACACATGCGAACACGCCACCGCTCCATCATCTAGCTGTGTGCTTCCAGATGGCAGACTCAGGAGCTGCTCCTTCTGACACCTGCCAGAGCAGGCACGCTTCGTTAATAGTAATTATTGTTACGCAGTGGCACGTGTGTGCTGGCAGCCAGCTGCAGCTTGCGGGGCGAGCGATGAGTCTGTCCCTGGAGCTGCGGGGTGAGCTGTAGGGATGGGAGCTTTGACCCGCAGAAGGCGGAAAGTACAAATAGAAGAAGGTGTCAAAAAAAAAAAAAAAAAAAGACTGAAAATCTCCGGCCTGCTCTGACACAGAAGAAATCGGATGGCTTTCTTGGCATAAAAACCCTGGATCTTTTCCTGGTGCCCCAGACGGAGCTCAGCCCTGGCACATGTCCCCCTCTGCTTCTCCATCCCTGCTGTGCAGGCGACGCGGCACGGCTCAGTGGGCGCCTGCGTGGAGATGAAGTTCACAGTGAGTGAATAAGAACAAACGCAGTCGCCAAGAGCTCCTGAGCTGCAGATCACAGCCGGTTCCCCCTGGTGAGATGATGGGCTCGTTAGCCCTTTGCTGGCCTTGGCCCCAGCCAGCGGCCGCCTGCCATGCACGCCCTCCCGGGGAGCGGCTCCCTCGGGCACGGCGGTGCCTACGCACATCTCCGTCGGCAGCAGCAGGCGCCCAGCGCTGCCCAGCACGGCGGGTCCCAGAGGTGCCGGAGGAGAGCTGCCTCCCCTCTCCCACACCTCGCCGCCTTTCAGCGGGGAGCGGGTGCTGACAGGCGCTTCTGTGCCTGCTCAGATGTTTTATCTTGTTCCTGTCGCAAACAAAATACATTTTCAGTTTAAAAAGCCATGACAAAGGCCTGTGCTGGAGAACCGGTGGAAGGGTGTGTGGGTGGGGAGGTGCTGCCGTACCTTGCTGCATCAGCGCTCCCATCCCAAACCAGAAGCTGTTCAATAGGGTGAAGTTATTCTCCACGATGTCTGATCCTGGGTTGCAGGGATGAGCATCGTACCACTCGTATGGGCTGAACCTATGGTGGCACACGGAAAGCGAGAGCTCGTTAGTCGGGGTGTGGCATGACAAGACCCTAAAGGAACAGGGAAAAAAAGAGCCTTAATACATTCTATGCTGTTGTGCAGGGCCTGCTGACTCCTTTGGTTCTGCAGCTTATTAAAGAAAAAGACAAAATCAGCCAAGATTTCCAGAAGTGACCAGCACGGCTGTAAGCCCTGTGTCATGCATTGCAGACAGCAAGGAAACCTGGGAAGCCAGGTCCTTCGGAGGTATCTCAGGTTGCTTCTCCAAAGCCTTCGGTCCCTTCGGATCGTCTCTGCAACACTACATCACACGACAGCAACTGGAGCTCACGACTATGGGATGGCATGCGGTGCGGACACACAACCTCTAGTCCCAGTATGGAACAGTTCCAAAACGTGGGGAAAAATGGCATTTCTAGATCAACTGAGGAGAGACGCTGCAGTGGTTCTGCAGCAGTAGCGGGACAAACCGCAGTATTTCAGAGGACTCTCCTGCTAGTGCATATGGGAATCGGGGTGGGATTTAGCTAGGTGAGAAGCAGAACTTTCCACTGTCCTGACAAGCAGGAATCCTGCACGGTCAGGGCACCAGCACAACAGTGGAAATTGGTGTAGATTCGCTGTGGACTGCTGCGATCCTCGGCCCTGTTGTGGGTGGTGGGAGAACTTATTCCCTGTGGGGGCGTATTTCCATGGACAGCCCTGTAGTTCTTGGGCAAAACTGAGGGAATTTTCTATGATCATCTCTCTGCAAATCCTGCCTAGGATTGGTAGGCAAGCACCGCCGTGAATGTCGCTCTTTTAGCCAGGATCTGGGGAGGATGCTCAACAGGAGAGACGCTAATATTTTCAGAGCTGTTTATTTACATTTTCTAAGAGTCCCAAATTTTGCTGAGATTAAATTAAAGACATAATTGGTATAATTGCTTTTGAACCAGGCATTAATTATCATCTCTGCTTCCTTCTGAAATCCCTGTAGCTTCATAACAGCCCTTTTTCAAAGCCCAGCCCAGCCCACAGTTTGTATGAGGAGATATTTCTCTCTGTAATTCTCTGCCAGACGCGCTGCTACCCAAGAAGATGTCTTGTTGCTTAATTTCAGACAGTTGGATGTATTTGGAGAGAAGAGCCACAGCTCTCTCCCAGGTGCCCCTCGGCACAAAAACTCCCCAAGCAAACAGCTACCCCCGCCTCTGCTCTGCGCAGTCACGCCGTGAGACTCCCCTCGGAGCCCGACGTATGGGGACGTTCCACGAACACGGAGCCGCGGTCCCTGGGCACATGAACCAAGCGGGGCGAAGCAGAGGAGGGTGTCTGCGGGGAAGACCCACCACGGGGGACGGACTAGGTGCAACACACAGGACTTGTGGTTTTACAAAAGTTCATTGTAGGTGCATCTGTCCCACTTTTTGCCTCTGTTTTCCACATGCAAGGTACAGGGTAACGACCTCTCCTTTCCCCCCGCTTTTCTCTTGCCTTTCTGCAGCGGGGACCATTGCCTGCTCTGGGTTTGCAGAGTGCAGAACCAGTAAGCCTCACCCAGGCACAATCCTGCTCGTTCGTCCAGGTAATGGCTGGGCCGTTCTTACTGCCCACCTCCCTCTGCTTTTTTAAATAAGAGAAAATCAGAAAGGAAAACAGGAATAACAAGAATCAGGCTGAATTCAGACCTGGCTTTATATGCTCCCTATTCCTTTAAACTTGCTGTAAATTTATGCCAGAGGTGTATAAAGGATGGTGCCTAAGCCCTTTCTGTCAAATAAAGCCAGAGTTCAAGAATTAGATGAAAACTTTCTTGGGCTGCCAATGAAAGAATATGAAACAGAAAGGGAATTGGTAAGATCAAATGAGCCTGACAAGATGACACACTGAAGAACTTCAAGGTCTCTGAGTGAAAACCTACTGGTGCTGCTCAAATGACAGAGAAAACTGCAAAGCAGCGGCAGAGTCTTCGGTGCTTGAAAAGCAAGTGGGACCATTAGCAGAAACAGAGGGGTGATGAAGGAAGAAGCGAGCGGAGCTCGTTGACCCCATACAGCTGGAGCCATAATAAATGGGGGCTGCTCAGGATTCACCGTGGGCTGGCTTCCCTCTTCCTCAGGTGCAGAACGGGGTCTGAGAAATATCTCATATAAAACTATGATTATTTTCTTGTCTCATCTTGGCCTTTTTGGCAGGGAAACGGGGAGCATTTCAAAGAAGGTTTAAAGATCTAACACAAAATACTTCTGAGTCTAAATTGCATCTCCAGAGAAATTTGTTATGGATGACCCAGTCCTCGTTGCAATTAAGATGAATATTAAACCCACCCACCCTGTTGTGCACCCAAAGGTGATTAGCTGTAATTTGAAGGCCTTTTGAGTCTGAGGACAGGTGACAATCCAAATCAGTCAGCTGCACAGTCCACTTGCAACCTCGCACCAGAGTCACCAGACAAATTACCCCCACGAAGCCTTATAAATTGCTGGTGTTTATGGCTCTTTGGGGGCTGGGGTGGTTAGGAGCAGAGGCTCTATCAATAACTAAGAAAGACTGATTAAAAGGGGAGATGGATGGAATACATCCTTTGCCTGCCTCTAAATAGTCCCTAAGTTGGTTTTAAGTGGCATTGACCTATGATTATAGCGTCAGCAGAGGACTCTGGTGCCTAGTTCAGGAGACTCATGTCTTTGAATTAAGGCTTTGCTATTTTGACTGTGGTTTTCTCCTGAGAATGGAACTTTAGAGGCCTTGCTGGGGTCAAAAGCACTTCTGAACGCAGTAAATATTTTCCCCATGAAATCTCTTGCTCTTCATCTGTATGCGTTAAAAGATCATTCCTGCAGAACCTTAATTACACCAAATACTTGGTGTTCTTTAAAAGAACAGGAAGACAGCAGAAATGTCAGGAGCAAAACATGTGAAAAAGAAACTGTAATTGCAATATTTTATAGGTTCATTTTCAGCCAAAAAATAGCCTGATAGGGGAAAGCTGTTGTATTACATCATAACTGCTATGATGTAGAGAGATTATGAGGCTCATTTCATGTCATTTCAGAACAAAAACAGAGACTAAACCACAGTTCTTCAGGTTTTCATCCCTCAACGCCAGCCACAAAGCCCAGCACAGCAAGTGGTTCAGACCCTCTTGTGTTCGTCGTGCCAGGGCAGTCACCAGCGGGGTGTCAAAACAGACACTCGGTTCCTGACCGCGACTGCCATGTGTTTGGGCATGCGTGGGGCTCTGGGTTAGCCCGGATCCCCACCTCTCTGGGCAGCGAGTGCCCTCTGGGCCGGGCAGGGGGGTTTATTGGGCCGGTACCCTGGTTGGGGTGCCCAGGCACCCAACTCGGTGGATCAGGGCAGGCGCTGTGTGCATCGCTGTGCACATCGCTGCCCGAGGCTGGGCAGCCCCGCTGCTCTCTGAACAGAGCATCTAGGTTTTCCTGTCTGTAAAACGTGGCTTCTCAGGTGTTTTCACATCGGGGCCCGTCCTAGCATTTCCTTCAACCTTCCCTCAGTATTTACTGCAATGAATTTCACATGCAGATAAAATTTGCACATTTAACATGCTTTGAAAGTGGGATCTGGACGATTTGGGCTGGATTTGGCCATTTTATGAGTCAGGAAAAATAAACTCAAATGTAAAATTGTATTTGAATTGTCATTCCAAGCCGCACAAGCAGTCTAATACTTTATGGCATTGGAGCCCATCTAGCTATGTTCTGCATGGCTAACAGAGACATAAAGTGAAGGAGTTCTATCAGTCATCGCAATATTTTTCCTTTTCATAATTACTTCGGATTGATTTTTGCAGATGAGTATCTTTTCAGCTGGTTCCTCTCTGACACAAAGCAAAACCGCTGAGGACCTCATCCTGCCCTGCTGGAGTCCCCGACAGCCTTCCCAGGGGCTTCAGCTGGGGCAGGACAAAGCCGGCAGCAGTATTTTGCCGAACTGTCCCGCATTTTGTGTGGCCCCCGGCCACTTGCCCAGCCGTGCCGCCCGCCTGCGGCCGGGGGGTCCACAGGGCAGAACTGGTGGGAAGGTGCAGCGATGTGTTAATGGCAGTGCGACTCTCAGCCTCTTACAGTATAGTAATAACAAGTGCGACCATTTCTGTGCGTTACACCACCTGCCTGCTGAAATGATCTGTTAGGTTGTTTTTATGAGTTGCTGTTTGTACTGCAATGCCATGAGAGCCCAGGCCTGTGCTCCCAGTGGGAGCAAAGCCATCCGTGCTCAGACAGCTTCTGTGGGGCCTCAGGAAAGTGCCTGGAAACGTGGTATATCTCCATTTGATAGAGGTGCATTGCAAAGGCTAGGGAGGAGAACGACTGCAGTTAACATCTGGGACATGGAAGGCCTTCTGTGTCCTCTAAGAGTGAAGTGCAACCTCTCCGGCTCTGCACCTCTGCAGAAGAAGGATCAGGCGATGTAGCTGCTTTGCCATCCCAGATGGTTTGGAGCACTAATACTGTCTGCTAAGCCGAGTTTACTTTTACAACTGCTGTTATGTGTAATTAGGATACTGCATAGTAAACTCAGGAAATCATCTCTAAATGCCTCCGTGGACCTGAGGGATGTTGAAAATTGCAGATTTGTTGTAACATGAGGGTTAATGGATTCTGGTTGCTGCAGTTTCATATTTAATCTTAACTTTGACTATCTATTGATGTCAGTGGATTAGATAGAAGCTGGTTTCTGAAGGATGCTCGGAGGAAAACACAGCACAGCAGCCCTTGGAGGGAGAGGGTCTGCTCAGAGCCCCGGTCCAAGGTGTGGGGTCAGCAGGGAGGTTTCTGAAGGCACCACCGGCTTAACTTGAACTGGAAGAAATGAGAAATGAGTGTATGCAGACACAGTCTACAGACTGTGCCTAGGAAACTTCCCCGGGCATGGTATTTACACAGAATATTTAAGCATCCAGCGAGGGCTGCGCGTGGCCGGGGAGGGCGGCTGCCCAGCAGGAGGGAAGCAAGTGCTTTGTTTTGGTTTGAAAAGGTGGAATCGCATATTGAGAGCAGCCCTGGACTGTGCGTCTCATCAAAGACTCTGTGAAATTAATAACACATGCAAATATATGCAAATTCCGCTGCTTTTAAATATAGGTTTTAAACATGCTAATTAGATGCATATTAATTTTGTAAACAGACACATTGTCTGATCCATAGCAACGGATTCTCCGGTTTTTTGATATAGGGAAGGGTTTGTGGAAGCTTTGCTGGTGGAGGGTTCAGAGACGGGAGCTGAAAATGGTGCGGGACATAGGAGCTTTGTGTCCAGGCCACAGTGAGAGGCTGGGCTTCTTCCTGGAGAAGGTGGGTGAGAAGAGACCTAACAGGAGCATGAATGGTGAACGATACAGAACAGGAAAATTACCCTTCATTATACCGGGGAGGTGCTAATGAAATGGAAAGACAAAAAAATTTCTAAAATCATAAAAGAAAGTGCATTTTTAAATTCTTTTGTACTGGAAGCCTACTAAATCTGGGGAACTGCCTGCCCTGATACAGCAAAAGAGGCTTACAGGTTTGTGTTAATAAAGTAAACAAACACAAGCACATTTAGTATGGTAAAGCAGTACAAAGGATGTAACACAGGCTGGAGCTAGCAAAGAAGGAAACAAATTTCCCCTCTGGATAGCTCATCTTTAATTTTCACCACAGGGTTCGTATCACCTCTACAACCACTCTGAGATACAGGTCCGACAGGGAACAGGGCACGGGAGCCTGGCAGTCGTGAGCAACCCCACGCCAAGAGACCAGCCTGCCTTTGGGTAATGGACCGAAAGTAATTTCATTAATGACACAGGTTCAATGCTGTGGCTCCCACTGGGCGGTTGGATCCCTGCGACACACCAGGCAGCACAACGGATCTGAGCATGGGGAGGCCGTCTTGTCGCATGGCAGCAGATCTGGTGTGATGGCAGTCGGGTGGGGTGGCACCGGCGTCCCCTTACCTGGCTATGACAAACAGCACGCAGCTGACCCCCAGGTAGGCGAGGAGGATGTACATCCAAATGTCAGGAGACAGGGGGTTGAGGAAGGAGAACACGCTGGGGTTGGTCCCGTTGGGCTTCCGGTACAAGATGCTGACGCCCAGGGTCATAAAAGGCTTGGAGAAGTCTATCGCTTTCTCCCGAACGTGGGTGATGGTGAGAGGAGCAACGGCCAGGTCAGCTTTCTGTGCACAATATAGAGCGAGAGAGAAGGAAGGCATTAGAAACGGAGGCGTTTCCATCCCCTTAGAAGCACCCACAGCAGTCACACTGCAGTACTGGGCCAAAACTGGGCTGCGCTCTGGGGTTCCCCCCTCCCTTTGCGCATGGGGTACGTCAGCCCTGTGCCTCTGCCAGAGCCAGGCTGGACCTCCTGCCCCCTGTCCCGGTGCAGGCAGGGCCCTCTGCGCCTGGCGCAGGATGGGCTCCAGGTAATGCCTCCCTTCGGACCTGCCGTCTGGCTGTACAGGCAAACACAAAGCTGTCGTCAGAGCTGCACTGCGTCGCACACGAATGGTGCTTGGGCAGCTTTCTGTGAGCTCTGCTCCAGAGCCCTCCAGAAAGGGACCAAGGACTGGTCTATGTGCATTAGGCACAAGAACACCTGAGATGGGAAGGGAACGTGGAACTGACACAATACGGCCCAGTTATTACAAATACTTCTCATCACCTAAACAAAACCCCAGCACAGATGCAGGGTCTCCAAAACACGCGGGACGAGATTCTGGAGGTGGTGGTGTGGATGTGTTTACCATCTTTAAGAGAGTTGTTCCTGATTTAAATCAGTGAGCTGGAGAGTGAAACGTGGTCTACTGTTTGCTAATTATACTCTGTGACTTTCATTGTATAGATTTTTGGCTGATGTTAGCTACCGAAATACAGCGCAGACAAGAGAGATGTTGCAGTCTGCGCAGCTTTTCCCAGGTGCAATGAGCTCATTTCAGTAGGCTCTTCTAAGATGGTCAGAACAATTATATCTTAAAATGGTATAAAACATCTGCGATCCTCGCTGTGCTTGCTTCTTGCGGCAGAACTGTTTACAACAGAGCGTTTGCTCTGTGCAAATCCCACCGTTTGCAGAGATGATTTGGTTTTGTTGTCCTTCCTTTCAACGTTGCTGAGAGAGGAGAAAGTCGCAGAGGGAGGCCACTCCAGAATGAAGTTGCAGGAAGTAATACTGTAGCAGCATGAGGTAAAAGGTTCAATTTCTTTCCCCTCAGTCGACTTCATGATACAACTTGAAAGCTCATTCTAAGGAAGCCGTGGCGTAGGGTTGGAGCGTTGCTGTTTGGGAATGCTCGCAAGCGTGCCTGGCTGGTGGGAGTGAGAAAATCCTCAGGCGGTTCCTGTTAGGTCTCTCTTCTGTGCGTATGGCTGCAAGCCCCACCGGGGAAATGCTTCTGCTAATTAATGGTGGGCTTCACAGCCCGTCATGCTGGAACTGTCCGAGCTGCACGAGGAGTTTAAGCTGAGCATATTATTCATCCTGACTTCTTGTATGAATTGTGTTTCTTTCTATTATTTCTGTTATTTAATAATTTCTGTGCTAGATTCAGTGAGTGACCACATACAACCTCTTTCTGTTGCTTATGAGCTGCGTTCATTTCCTTTCACTAAATATTCGTTCAGGTTCTTAAAAAAACCTTCAGTAAATACATCCAAGAATACCTCAATGTCAGCTGCCTTGCTTGGGGTTTGCAAACCACTCTTTTGGTATCATTGACTTCAAAGGAAATGCAGGAACATAAATTTCTGAAGTTGAGCAGTACCTCCCCCCGTGCCAGGTGCCTAGCATACCCGTGCAAGATTTATTTAACATCTGGTTCTGACAATTAAAATTCTAAATTAACCATGAGTGATAATTACCTAGAGATATAGCGGATTTGTCATTACTTGCAAACTTTAAATCAATATTAGCTGTCTTGCTAGAACATGCTTTATTCCAACAGAAACTATGGGTTCACTTGCTTCAGTTGTAGAAATTGGTGAAGATCTCTGGCCTGTGTTGTGGAGGAAGGTCAGGCTAATGATCTCGTTTGACCTTGCAAATCTGTGACGAAAGTCAGTGGAATATTTTTAAATAGAGGAATCTGGGCCTTTTCCTATAAGAAGAGTTTCTACATGAGCTTTTATCCATTACATACATATATATGTGTGTGTATGAAAGGGTCTCCTCTCAAAGAACGTAGCTTTAGAGGTCCTGAACAGAAGAGTTTCAGGAATTCTCTAACAAGGGTAAAAACATGTATTTTTTTCTAACGTGGTTCCTTAGCCGAGCCCTGGCTGGTTCCCTTTCCTTGGCACTTTCCAAATGGAAATATATTTTTAAATCAGCTTGGTACAGAAAGTGTCCGTTTGAATCACTGGCATTTGTCAAAACTTAGAGAAAATGGAAACAATATGTTCCCAACGAGCCCTTTTGTGCCAGCTGTGGCTGCGGTGACATTGCTGAAAACTGAAGGGCAGTGGTTTTTAGAAGTAGACAGGCAATGCTGGCTGCCCAGCTTGAGATGGTGAAGTTCTGCATCTCAGGAGCAGAGTCTGCATCCTGGTGCCGTCCTGGGGGAGGATGCCCGGCAGGTTTGTAGCTCGGCTGGTCTCCCCACGTTACAGCACACTTGAGAATTTTGGCTTGTCAGTCTCCAAAGTCACGAGGCAGAAATGGCAAAAGAAATGCAGCATTTCAGCTCCTCCATCACTTCTGCGTGGGTGTCCTGACTCAACAGGGAAAACTGAAGGAGATATTGAAGGATTTGGCTACCGATTTTTCTGAAGGAGGAAACTAATGAGCAGTTCTGTGGTCAGTGCTCGCTAGCAACTGCCTGTCTGAAAGATCCTCAGCCAAATTTTTTAAAATGGTATAGCAAGCTAAATAACAGCTAGGAGTTCATGCTTTACCACAGAAAATGAAGAGAGAGAAATCTGCATGGATGCCCAAGGATCAAAACGCTTTTAGTGCAGAAATAAAATTTTACTGTGTCATTTCAGCAGCTCCTGTGATTTGATCACAGCCCCGTGTCCTTGGCAGTAAATGTCACACACAGGCAGAATGGAGCATGTATTAGGGAGCCCAGTCTGGTGTGGTGTCCTGAGCTATTAAAGGCAGTACGCGGCTGCACTCCGATATCCTTTTTATCAATGCAGATTTTTCTGAAGGTGGCCTCTAATTAAGGGTTTGCTGACTGAGAAGGATCTAAATCAAAACCCACCAAGGGTGAAGCTTTCATTTGTCGTGCTTCTGACATTACAAACCGGGAAGTCAATTATCAGGCCCTGACTGCTTCCTTCCCTCAGCCCCAACTTTTATGCTGTTGCACAGTAAGATGGGTTTTATTAGAAATGAGGAATTATAGCAAGTGCTGGTGGCTTAAAGGCCCTTATCCAGCAAAACCACTTAAGCACACGCTTCTGTTTTACTGGAGCTTGCACACCTTCCAAGTCTTATGTATGTTCTTAAGTGTTCTGCTGAATTGAGGCCAAAAAGATGAATTTTGCCAAGGCAGCTACACACCAAATGCAGACACTTCTCTGACACACCTTGAAGGGTTTGGACCTCCTTATTCACCCAGTGTTACGGCTTTTTCACTTGGGTGGAACTGATGTGGGTTCACCGGGCGTTCAGTGGATGGAGGATTGTATTCTCTGCAGAGATATTTGGCTAAGTCTTATCTTCAAGTTCTCAGTTATCACGGGAATGTGGCCTGTGGGTCAGAACAGCTCTTGCACAGCCATGGTCGCTGTGGAAATGCTGCAGCATCCGACCTCCACTGGAGGAAAGCTGCGTGTGACGGCCAGTCACAGCAGAGCCTATAAGCATCAAGGTAAATATTTATTCAAGAAAATAAGCTGCCTCTGTGCTTGTTTTGCCAAGGTGAGTTAGGTATTTACATAAACTAATTATGTGTGTGCTGCCTGAGAGACAGGTAAATAGTGCGTATTTTACTTATTTAATTGTTATTCAGGTGTCTGTCTGGCAGCATGGACACTTTCATCCCTCAGTCTCTTTTGCCACCACCACTGCCAGCGCTGGGGCTGCAGCGCGTTTCTGCTTTTCTGCTCCCACCGCCCTGCTTCAGGCCCCATCTCTGCTCCCCTCCCTGCTTTGCTTGCTTGCACCCTGTCCCAGCATGGTCTGCTGTGCGCTGGCCTCACGCCTGCATCTTTCTGCATCTTTCCCTGCAGCGGAGCCAGCACCCGGGCGTCCTTGGGCATGGACATCCCGGAGCACTGGGGGACCACAAGGCCAGGCACAGCCGAGGCAGCCGGTCTGTCTTGTAGCCCGTGGCTTGGAGACAGAGGAGCTGCTGCTTTAGCAGACGACCGACTGCTCTGCTGAGAGCCCTGTGCCCGCAGCCCTCCCCTCTTGCTGGCCAGGGGTAGGAAGACACTCCGTGTGAGAAGTGATGCTTGAGGAGAACAAGGTCGTGCCTGGCAGCATCCCAGTCGCGCCTCGGCCTCGGCACTCCATGCACCGTGTGCAGGGGGTCAGCGTTAATTGTCTGACTCCAGCTCTTAATGGCTGCTCTTACAATTTCAGTCCTAATTTAGACATAGTTTTTGTCAATGAATTTATTTAATACCAGTGGTGAATTGAGAACAGATGTCGGCAGGGAAAACCTAGCTGTAAGCTGAAGAGGAGAAATGAGGACTGTGAAGTCCTGTTGGGCATCTTGTAATCTTTACTTTAGGGAAGTTCCTCTGAGACAGAACTACCATTAATTGTACCTAAGAGATGTCAAAGGCTGTAGGATCCCAGTGAGAACGGCCGTATTTTTGGAGACAAGCCTTATCCTATGAATTACTGGCAGGTGAGCAGGGGAGGGAAAGGCAGGTCCAGAGAGACCTGCAGAAGCAAGCAGAGAACTCAGGGCTCCAGTATGCTTCCATCACTTGGGTCGCTGAATATGATAAATACGAAACCACCCAATTAACGATGCTGAGCACAAAAGGAGAAAGTGCAGCCAGCTGTTTTGGCTTATTTCTATCTCCTCTCTAACGCTGAGTTCCTGCAGTGTGTAAACAAGAGATGGAGGACACTTCATCCAACAAAATTGTTTTTTTCTATTCCTGGTCCAGTGGCTTCCAAATGAATCCCCAGCTCACGGCACTTGAAATGAACATCCACCAGTGCAGGAACATTAATGGGAATGTGGCAACGTGGTGCAGTATGTATTTCTGCCAGAATTTACTGTCAATAAATGCCCATTTATTGTGAAAGTGTTAAATCAACTGTCATAAATTGTCCCTAAGGATAGATACTACATCTTCTCTATAGTTACCATTGGCAGGGATTTCCATTAGAAACCCTATTATTTTTCATACTTTTTTTATTCCCACGTGAAGTTTCAGATTGAATGGAAATTTCATATGCACTGTCTCAGCAGAAGACAAGTTTTATTTGTGAACAAGTTTGTGCAAAATATCCAGAACAACTCATTTTGCTTTTTTATGTGATTCTGCCCACAAACAATAGGGAAGATTTGCAGGCATTATTTTGCCAGACAACTAGAATTTATAAATCAGAATGGATGGGCCACAATGCACAGTGTAGTTTTGCTTGTAGCAATAATAATTTCTATGAATAAACATCAATAACAGTTCACTATTGATGAAAGGAGGAGATTTGACAGTTGCCACGTTCCCCATATATTATAGATGCAGGGCACAGGAGTTTCTCTGTGTCACCTGGGTGCCCCAAACCTCCCCAAATGCCAGTGTTGTGAGTTCAGCTTTCATGGTCCATCTGATTGAGGCTCCTCTGCGGGAGTGGCGAAGGAGAGTGACAATAAGCAACCAGCTGTGGTGAGGAAAGAGTCTAGTTCTCCAGGGAATGGACTGAACTCCCCCAAAATGGGGATTTTTTTTGTGATGAAGGATGAGCAGCAGATGAAATGGAGCAGGGCAGGGCTTTTTGCATCTAACTGCAGGAGGCTGTCTTCTGAGGTCTGCTACTGGGGACCTGGATGACAGGGTCATGCTGTGAGCTGCTCTGACTGCTGTTGCTTTTCCTGTTTATGCTTAAGGCCAGACTAGAAACAAAGCAATTTTACAAAGGATTATAGCCTAAGGCATTACTGCCTATGGCCAGGCATGCCTGGATCAGAGAGGACAGGGGAAGGAGGATGCTATGTAACTCCAAAACAAGCCATGACAGCTCACTGCGTAAACAGCCCATCCTCCATCACGTGCTCTGTGATTTACACCTTTGCGTGGTAGGCACCATCATCCCTGAAACACTATAATTACATGCCTGCCTGGGCTGCCCTGCCTGGCACCTGTGCCCAGCTCCTCTCTGGCTGGACTCCCCAGCCCCAGCAGAAGGCCGTGCTGTGTGATGGGCTGCCCCTTACTTTGCCCATCTCCTTTTCACTGAGTTTCAGCCTCGGATCAGGCTATTCCTGGTACACAGCATCTGCCGTTCCCACAGCTCTCAGCCCTTCCGAGTGATAACAGTCACCGTTTTAGCCTCTTATTTCACCTCAGGAGCACCCTCTCCTATGCACAGGGCATTCAACCAAGCCTGCGCATCAGCTCAGCCCACCGGAGCTGGTGCATCACAGCAGTCCTGGGCGGCTCAGTCTCAGATGCACGAGTTAAGTGGGTCTTCAGCAATGCCCAGTCTTTCTGCATAGCGTTAATCCTGGTCGGGGTGTTTGGACCTCATAAAATCCTACCTGCTTTATGCTCTCACCTGAATGATCCCAATTCTTTTATGAGAATGAGACACTGAATATGGAGGAAAGCCAGCCTGGATATCAAACTCACAGTGTGGGCAGCCCTGTTTTCATTACTACAACTTTGTTTGAATGCTGTCTCCAACACTTTTCCTACTAGGTGTGAAATAAGTTTGAACTTTCACATTGCAAAGTGCCAATCAGTTGTTCCTTTCCCCACACGATCTGAAGATGCTTTGTGGCTGAGGAAGGGCCCCATCTGGTTGCAGTTTCACTTTTTAATGCTTTACATAAACACTGCTATAAAAAGCAATGACATGCAGATAAAGAAAATAATGGCTTCATATGGGGTTTGGGCAATGGTTATGAATCACTCCAAGCCGTGCACCCAACCACACCTGTTAGAAAGCAGAGTTCAAACTTGATGCTACAGTAGAACTTGCAAGAAGAGGGGATTTGGTCCTTTTCTGTTGCTTTATGTTAATTTGCTTTTTAAATAGTTAGCCAAGAAATACTGGTTGACCGTGAATTTAGTGTTATTTAATGAGGTTGTTCCCCATACCACCTTCTCGGTCTGTCTCTTCTAGCTGACCACACACAGCTTTGGGAATGGCTGAAAGCCTCCCGAGAGCCCTATAACATTTTGCAGGGCATTGGAAGTGACATGGTTTGGACGACATGACAGTCTGGTTTCTATTTCCTGTACCTTATTTCTTGCCTTGGAGCGATTTACTTCTTCAGAGCCCTACACTACAGATGCTCTACTGTGGGAGCCACAGACTCTGCTCCCGGCAGCGGGCGCAGGACCGCAGGAGGCTGTGTCCCGGAGCCCGCTGCCGAGGTTCGCAGCCTGTGCTCTGCGTCTCTTCATATCTATGTCTCACACGTGACTCGGAGTGGCAAAGCACCAGTCTCTTCTGCTGGGATGCCGAGTGCCACTTGTCTAACTTAGTGAGGCTGTTGCATAAGAGACTATGAAATCTGTATTTTGAGCTGTATGGAGTTTTCTGGAAGCAAAAATACAAAGGCAGGTTTGCACAGCCTGTGGCATATTCCCCTGTGAGCCACAGCGTCCTGCTCCCTCAAGGGCTGTCCTTGCATGCCCTTGCCGCACTTCCCGCTTCTCCAGGGTGAGCCATCTAAGGAGTACTGCGCTCTTCACAAACTGATTAAGCCTCACTTTGTCCCTGTAAGGGACATAACCATTATCATCTGCATTTTACAGATGGAGGAAGTATTGCACAGAAGCAACTTGTCCAATGTCATTTAGGGCAGACAAGCCAAATCCGGAAACACAACCTAGATCCCTGAGCCCCAGCTCCACAGCCTCCCTGCCAGACAGTGCTCTGTTATCTGTTCACAGCGAAGCTCATTTACTGAAGTGACTCACCCAGCAAATACATTCTTCTCACATGAACTGTAAGAGCATCACAGCTGCTACGTACGTGAGATTATTTTTGTCTCTTTTCTGCTTAGGCAATGTTTTCAAAATGTAGCCAGGAGCATGAGAGGTGGTCCAAGGGCTGCACCGCTCGAGCAGGATATTCAGGAGGAGAGAGCTGTGTTATAGCTCTAGGATGGCTTATACTGCTGCCTGTGCTGCGGAGATCAGAGATTAATTTTGTCCTGATCTTTTCTTCCAGAGACCTTTCCTGGGAATAAGAGGTTCATAAAAACACCAGCTTTCCTCACCTCCCTAACTGGGCTTCTGGGATCACAGGATGTGCTGGAGGCAAAATATCTAATTAGGAAACTGAGCAACCTCTGGCTGTGAGTCGAGGTTTCAGATTAGGTGACTTTTTGGCGGCTGAGAGAGTAAAGCTGCCCCGACAGTTTCACTAGTGTTTAATGGGCTTTTAGAAGTGGCCGCGGAAGGAGAAGCACAGCTGCTCTGCTGCAGGGGGAGCTCCATGTCCCAGGAGATTTTAGAAAATAAGCTGCGTTTATAAAAAAAAAAATATTAAACTGTCCCCTGCACACCTGCTCTTGCAGTCTGGATACCTCATCTGGATTCAGCTGAGCTGTGCCTGGGACATGTCTGGGGTCCCTGAGCCACCTCAGTGTTGTGCCCTGGCCCATATTTGTCAGGGGCAGAGCAGCCGTGTCCTCGAGGGATGAGAGCAGGCATGCTCCTGCCCGGCTCAGGAGAGCCAGTGTGCAGCCAGGCCTCGGCTCTTCCCTCCTCTCTGTGTGCCCAGCCTGCGTCCCACTGCGGGGCAGCAGCCCGGCGGGGAGGGTCTGCGGCTGAAGCCACGGAGCCTGTTTCTGTACTTTAAGAATGTCCATTTTCAGAAACTCCGAATGAATATTTCGAAGAGTCAGACAAAGAGATACTCTTCTGACAAACTGTGCAACACAGGCAGAGCCCAGGTGGGGTTAGAAGCCCGCTGCGGGCATCCCGAGCCAGCGAGCAGCGGGCACCCGTCCCACCCCAGGCAGAAAGCCCTGGGCACAGCCACCCCTCGGCAGCCGCCGGCTGCCCATGCCACAGATGGGCCTCACTCACGTGGTCGATGAGCTCCTTGATCATGCCGTTCCACTGCCCCTTCTCATCCTGCGCCCCGTATTTCCCGTCCTCCACCAGCCGGATCTCGTAGGTGAAGCCCAGGATGATGGCCAGCTCCTTCAGGAGGTCGATGCAGTAACCCTCAAAGCGGTCGTTCCCGAACAGGGCTGTGTCGGACTTACGGAACATGACAAAGGGCTCTTCCTGCACATGGGAAGGCAAAAAGTCCCCGTTAAGGGTCAGCTGTGGTCCCAGCTCCCACTGGAGGCAGGGCTGCCCCTGCAGGTCAACCTGAGCCACGAGGCGCAGGCTCTTCGAGCAGGGTTGGCACCGTGACATGTTGGGAATAAATTAACTTTGCACAGCACATCAGCTAATTAGCAACCTTGTTTACCCCACAAAATTTAATTTTGTCTCTTCTGAGCCGCCAACTGTTTTCCATTTGGTAGGATTTCAGGGAGAAAAATAACCATTTAATGCTCTGAAAATGAAAAGCGTTGAGAAACAGTAAAAGGCGGGAGGACAAATTCAACCCCAAGTCCCGCACAGCAGAAATGCGGCCAAACCACACGCACCGCAGTACCTGACGTTCGCTGCAGTGAGCAAGAGGCTGGTGGGTTAAATACAAGGTGAGGGAGCCGTGTGTGGCTGGTGGCCAGCCCAAAACATTCCCTAGTTTAGTTTGCTTTCCTCTTGGCTGGCACTAGCTGATGGGATATGGGGCCCTACTGCTGCCCAGAGAGTTTCTGCCGTCTGCTCCAGCTATGCCTGCCGTGGGAAGGTTGGGGGTGTCTTTAATCACAACAGTGCCAAGCACCAGCACAACTGATAAAGTGCTTTAGAGCAGGCTTTGCCCTATGGACCCCTGCCTCTTTAGCGGGGGCTGGCAGGTGAAGTTAGCAAACACACAACAAACCGCACAGCCCTTTGTGAGTATCAGGCTTGGGCAGTCACCGAGGACGAGGGACACTAGGGAGCCCGAGGGAAAAAACGTGTAGAGGACAGATGGAAACGGCAAAAAATGGTGGGCAGCAGGCAAAGCTAGAAGGCAAGGGGAGGATGAATTATCAACAGCAGCTAAGACATGCCTTGAATTGAAGGTATCTGCAGGGCTACCGTCCTTGCCCATGGGGTGGCCGGGGAGGGGGGGCTCACGTTTTGCTCTGGCGAGCGAGCCGTGTTGCTGGAGTCCCCGCGGTATTGCACGGGGACAGGGGGGCTTGACGTTGCGGGATGGAAGGTCTGGAGTCCCGGTTAGAGTATTACTGACGTGCCCGGTTTGGTGGAGGGCAGGCGCCCTGCCTCGGGTGGGTACGCCGAGGAGGGGGTCGGGGACCCAGCGCTGGGCTGTGCCAGCCTGGAGTTTGGCAGCTCTTCTCTCCCAGTACGACCCGTCAGCCCCCACGTCTGCCCCCGCAGGGGCGGGCAGGCAGGCGGGCAGGAGGTGCCTGCTCGGCCTCAAAGCAGGGTAGGGAGGGGACGAGAGAGCACGTGAAGCTCAATATGCAGAATTATAAAGCAAAGCTGATAACATCACGCCTATAGAGTTTAGCTTGGCACGCGCAGCTCGGTTAAATCCGGCTCTCCCTGGCCGCCTCCTCAGCTTTCTTCTCTGGAATTAGTGCTTTGTTTGTGAATCAGCTGAATCTATGGATCTTGATATAAATACACCAGCTCCAGAGCAGCCATAAAGCACTATTAATTTTGGGAAGCGCTGTAGGGATTACATACATATTTAACAGCCGAAGCACTGAACATTAGGACGCCACTCGCTTCAGTAATGTATCTCCAGGTCTCAAACATTTCCTAGGGGGTAATTCTGAACTCTGTGAACCACTTATTCACGGACTATTTCACAATTTATTACTGAAAATGGCCAGACATCCAATTCACAAGCTCTCTCAGTTTGCTAATCGATTTCTCAGTGAAGGTGCCCTCAATTTCATAACTTCACAGTTCCCATATTGCTTGGGGAGAGTGGCGCTGGCTGCTGGGGTAATATTTCTCTTCCAACAAGTCACTGCAATACGAGCAAAAGGGGAAAAAATAACCTTTCATGCTTTTCCTTTTAAAGGTTCCTCTTATGGCTTTTCTACAATCGTTTACACCGCTGCAAAAGTACAAAGGGGTGTTGCAAATGCAAATAAAATTTAGGGTTGTATTTTATTTTTTAGAATCCAGTATATGAAAATGTAATTATTGCAGAACTCGTGTCTAAGCACATTTCCTCCTCCTGCAGGCAAGGGAATTGCAGGACAGCTGTGGTTTCGAGATAGATACCCCGTGGCACATGTGCAGGCCCAAGGAACGGCACAATTAATAGGAACTGATATCACCCTTGTACATTATGTAATTTGTACATGCTTACGGAGTATGAGATGAAAATGCTGCCCGAAAAAAGCATGTCAAAGGCAGATGGCTGACAGGTCTTCTCCTGGCTCCATCATTTTGCATTATGCCATGGCCTTTGAGGTACAGTGATTATCGCACCCTAGGCCCAGGCATTTCCACAACTCTGGCCGTGCATCTTACCCCTAACAAGATGCATCTTTTCTGGTTTCCCTCAGTCCTGTCCATACAGCTTTCACCAATATTCCAGTCTCACGGCTTCACCCAGCGGCTCCAGCTCTCAGGGCAGGCAGCTCTGCTGCTGCCCCTCCAGCCTTCTCCCCAGTGCTACTGGCCGTCCCACCCCAGGAATTTCCCCTGATGTGCTGCACACAGTTCTAATTAGAGTGGGGGCAAGGGGAGTCATTATATAACTTCTGGTGAGTTTTATTCAGCCGCAGTAGGGCTTGAACAATTCCCTTAGAGCTGATCCTGAACCTCCACCTGGGAGTATCTTGATGTCATGTGTTATTCATGTTGCCCTAAAAATTTGCATCTCCCATATACAGGTACTGGCAGCACTTTAATGAACTAAATGCTAAAATGAACTAAACCTGGCATGGCAGGTCTCTCCATTTGGCCTGTTAGAAAAACACTACCTAAATTTCTGCTTTCTAAACACACCAAGAATGCTTAAATGCAAAAGAAAAAAAAAAAGCAAACTGTGTGTGTATCGTGCCTGAGTGCACACTGCTGCAAGGGTCTCAACACAAGCAGTCTTACAATCTGATGCATGTTGAATTGTTAAAGTGCCTTTTGCTCTGTCATTTCTCTCCTTCTGCAGTAACTCCTGATGTGACAATTCATTTCAATAACCATAGCCAGTGGGGAACCATTGCTGCCGCCGATTCTGCTAATGCGCATGGCACAGGAACACTGCCCTGTGCAGACTCCCCCATAAGCGCGACCCATCACGGTCTCATGGGACTGGCACAGTAGAAAACTTCTGGACTGGGAAGGGAAGGAGCTTTTCCAGTCTTCCCTGCATGTTGAGAGATCAAAGTGGTGTGTTACTGAGTGTAGTCAATGAGCTAAGCCTGTACCTGACTCTTGGAGAGAGGGACTTTAATGAAAATGTTTCATTGGAACAAATATTGTGTGATGAATGGGAAGTTCATTAGAGGGTGTGGCTAATTTGCAAGGAAAGCTGCAGCAGCATCTGTATTTGGCTCACATTCTGCCTGCTTCCATTCCGCTAACCTCTTGTGGAGTGATACAAGACCTTTGGTTCCAGCCCTTCTTCTGCCCTGAACCAAGTGTTTCCTTTCTCTCTTCTCTGGGCACTTTCTTGGTCCCATTCCTTATATAATAGAAAACCCCACTCTGTCAGGTCACGTCCTTTTGGGAAGGCAAGGACATCGCGAGGGGTCACACTGCTCTGGACTGGGGAATGCATCCCCAGCTGGCTCTTTACCATCTGTACCTTTACGCTCCCTGAAAATATGGAAGACAAAAGGGCCAGAAAATTTCCATAGGCAAAACCATAATTCAGGCCCAATTGTGGGCAGGCTGTCCAAGGCCTGGTATTTTTTGTTGCTTTCTGGTGACACGCCACGAGCCTGCGCTGTGTAATACAGCCATACAGAAACCAATACCACTAGTCATAATTTATTAGATAGTAAATAAAAATTCATTCTGATCTGATGCCTGCCATCAAATCCAATAGCAAATGTGAGAACAAAATGCAGCGCGACAGTTGGAAGCAGAGGAGACCTGTTAAGCAACCGTAGTTTGCTGGATAACGGCATTACTCTTAGCTAGTTTTTCAAGTGCGTACTTAAGAGGGGGAAAGAAACACGGTTGTCACAGCTAAGCCAGGGTCTCTGGTTGTTCTCAGTATTTTCTTCTGTAACGAGAACACTCCTATCTGAGGTGGGCAGTGCCGGCCCTCTGACAGTGCCTGCTGCTGCCTGCCCAGGCGCTGGGGGTAAATGGGTGACTCGGAGCTTTCCTGGAGCTCAGCACGCACAAACCTCCCGTGCCCTCCAGCATGCGGGGAGCGAGGGGAGACGGGGACCTGGCCAGGCAGCTGAAGCGGAGGAGCTCAGCCGGGACGAGCAGCAGCCTCCCGGGCACGGGGAACACGCGCGGTTCCAGCTGGCCCGTGCCAGCCTCACCGTCCGCCACGTGTTGGCTGGCAGCCTGCTCAGGAGCAGTGGCATCGGAGGATGCCACAGGTCACCTCGCTGCAGGCGCATGGGCATCTGCAGGCTGCTGAGCCCAGCCCGCACACGGGGGCTCTCTGTGCCCTTGCTTGGCTTTCCAGAGGGACTAGTGGGTCTGTACTGGGATGCTGTGAATTTTCAGAGGTAACAGATATCCCTGAGATTTGTCGATGGAGGAAAAAGACAGGCTTGCAATCTCCTACCAGGACAGTGGTGACAATTAGAGATCTGTTGCTCAGCGAGTCTGTGACATTAGGCCCTCGTCCTTTGGAAATTTCTGTGATGTTCAAACCATCAGAAGGGCTCCACGCTCCAACCTGAAACAAAGCAAACGAACACATGAACACCCAGCTTACTTTCCTCACTTGCTCTCAGCATCCTACTGGCCTGGGAAATGGAGCTTGCTTCTTTCATCTACAGTAAACAGAAGCAAAGCTGAAATTATCATCTTGTATTGCCTAAATAGATGATTTGCATTAACCCTTCAGCTGCAGGTCACTCCAGCTGCACATGTACAATAAGCAACCCTTACGCTGCCCTCTGACGCAGGTGCATGAAAGAAGACCACGATGACTGGAATTTAGGGGCTGAATGAACAATTTGCAAAGGTACTGTATAGAGCAAACAGTCAAACGATGCTGAAGAGTCAACTCTGGGCAAGGATAAAGCAGAACAAAAGAAAACAAATACAAGTATGAGGCCATTTTCTTTCTTTTTCATTTCCTCACGTATTTGCTTTGGGGGGGGGAATTAAAAACAACTTGACCAGCTCTGCAAATCCCTGGTAGGAATCATTCCTGTCCTCTGCGCTGTGGCAAACTAGACGGATGTTTCTAACAGGTCCCCTTGGAAGGGCCCTGGTCACCCCTTCAGGGAAGTCCACCGCAGTGGGAGGTCTGGGTCCTGGTAGCAAACCTGGAGGAGGGAATGGCAGCAGACTTGCACGGGCACACGCAGCTACGTTCCTCAGCAATTTGAGGTGCTCTGTTTTTCTCAAGCTGTCAATTTTAATAAATTATTAGACTTTGAAGAAGTCTATTGACCCAGAAATAGCAAAACATGTCTCTATTTAAGAGAGGTCATCTGGGCAACTCTAAGCCTGTTAACCTGATCTCAGCGGTGCAGGGGAGGCTTTAGAACTTGGAAGGCAGGACTGGCTAAAGGACTGTGACGGTGAGATAAAATGTCAGGAAAGCTGGAGGAATATGGGATTGCTGCCAAGAAATGGAGCAGGGTGGCCATATAGCCAGCCTGACAGTGAGAAAAACCAAAACCCCACATGGAAATGGGAACAGAATGATCCATCTGTAGGGTCAAACTGTGAGATGGGACTCGGAGAGAAACCAAAGGCAGACAGCTCAAACCCACTGGGGAGCCAGGATCTTCCGATATTTTATTTATTGCTATTTTTAAGATTCTTCAACATCTTCAGCAGTCCAAGGAGAGAACTTGGTTTTACTGCATCCCCAAAAAGAGACTTTGTAATAAGCAATGCTGCCTGGCAAAAAAATGTCATAAATTCTAGAAGAGTTTCCATGAACTTTGTGAAAGGCTCTAAATATTTCAGGTAAAACCTAAGCAATCCCTCATATCTCCCTTCGATCTCACAACAGCTTCAATGTCAAAAGATTATTGCTGTGCATGGGAAAAGAGAAGCAAGTCTAAGAGGCACCTGCTAGCAGCGCTGCAGACTCAGTTAACTATGCCTTGCTAAGTTTTCTTTAAGAAAATTAACTACATGGCACTTAAGACTGAATTAATCAGTTTAAAATATTAAAAAAGGAAAGAAAAAGGAAAAAAGTGCGTTAAGAGAACTGTGCAAGTCAGATAGTCAAACTATGTGTAATTAGGTTTAGTTAATACCCCTGTAATCCCTGGAACATCCAGGAGGTATAAGGATCAGGAGTTCAATCCTAAAGCTCAACAAACATAAGCTATTATACATAATGCACAATCCATATGGGATTTGTTTGTAGTTTGGCGTTTTGTTATTTCAGATTAACTATTGACAGAAACCTAGCTTCAACAGAGATTTGACATCGATACTTTAAAACCCCTCTAGAGCTGACAAGAAGCTTTCAAAAAAATAATAGTGGGAACTGTAAATCTCTGAATTGTTGGAGACAAAAGCTGAACGGCTGCACAGAGTATGCATCAAGGTTTGGCGGCTTCCTATGGGCTTTATGTGACACACAATAGTAATAAATACAGCTGGTGCCAGCTATTCTCCAGTACACCTGAGGAGTATTAGTTTGACAGATAGATATTGCGGTTGTACTTAAACATTTAGATTCATGTGGTATCCAAATGCTCGCACATTTTTCTATTATTCTACCAACACAGCCCTCCGGCAGTCTGTCGGTGCCACTGTACTCCAAAAAGATGTGTTGGTTTTTTGGTTTAGACTCTATAAAAAATATTTTGTAAAAAAAGTAAGATGATCTGCTCAGTTCTTGTGAGAGTGTGGTGTCTTCCCTGCTCCTCTCCTGCCTCCTTCCTGCACGGGCTCGGCAGATCGCAGCTGAGACTGAAGGTCATTGGGTTTATTTGAAATGTTTTCTTTATTCTGTATTTGACACCAAAAAATACTCACTAGGAGAGTGCTGTGGTGACCTTGAGAGTTTTTACATGAAGCAAAGAACTACTGCTGTGGTGTGAAAGCGTGGCAACAATTTATTTCAAAGCGAAGGAAAAACGAACTGTAAAAAGGGGGGGTGGGGAAGTCAAGCTGTTTGGTCCCAGGGAGCTTCACCACGGATCTGTCCCCTCCAAACAGGGGGGTTGATCAAACTGCTGCCTCCCGCCTCCGGGGACTGCCTACCTGCACTGTTTGATTAATTCCCCAGCCTTAACTGGAAAAGTCATCTGTGCATGTTGGGCTGCTTGCTGCATGGTTAATTGAAAACTCTCTCTCTGTGCTCCTGGCTGGCATCTCCCACGGTAGCATAACCTGTCTCCATGCCCAAAGGTTACGGGACTCAGCACTCGTCCCTAGCTGCCAGTAGGCACCTTGTGCGTGTCGAAAAGCAGACTCTGCTCTAGAAAGGGATTTGCTGCCCAGCAGCCAGCTTTCTGCTGTAAGTCTGCAAGATGCCTCTAGCAGAACGAGGACTCAGAATTACTCACAAAAGGGGTCAGGCTCCGGGAGCCCTCGGTGGCCTCACATGCCGTTATTTGGAGCCTGATTAGAGCCCAGCCCCTGGGCATTGCTCCCTGTTGCTATCGGCTGTCCGCTGTGCAGTGCTTCACTTCAGGCCACTCGCTGCTCCCTTTTGTCTTAAACGAACTGATCTCACCTTGAAACCCATGTTCTAGGAGCTTTAATGCTTTGCATATTGCCTTTTTTTTTTTTAAGTAATTGAAGAAAAGGAAGTGAAATCCCTACAAACACCTGAGAATCAGATTTGCACATCAGCATCGTATTTCTGTGCCCAGAGGAGATTTGCACTAATTAGGAGGATCTGAGGCTGCAGCCTTTGTGCCGTGTCTCCTCCAGGCAAACACGGCCACTGAACGAGACCCCTCCAGCCAGCCCGGCAAAAATGCACTTTTTTCTTATTGTCCCTTAGATAACACAGAGAAGAAATAAACAAAAATACACATTGCATCCTCCTGCAAAATCTAGGCTGTAATAAGCTGGTGCCATTTCCAAGCCTTAGGCAATTTTCATTGTGGGAAATCACACCGAGATGATGCTTTCAAGAGCTGTTGCCTCCTCAGGGAAAAATCAACATTTTGTAAGCAAGCCCAGCAAGATGGGGTGTGGGACGGGCCTTATTCCTGCCACCTTTGGCCTGGGCAAGGAGAGGTTAATGGCTGCTCAGAAAGTTTCTTCTGCTTCCACTATCCTAGGAAGGTGCCACAAGCACTTTTGCAGCTAATAACTGTAATCCCACGCACATCGCTTCAGGGCTAGTGAGTCATGGATGAGGCATGGAAAAGGATCTGAGAAATCCCACAAAGTAAATATCCTTTCATACAAAAAACAGAAAACATGGAAACAATACAACCGCCAACCATTTTCTCTGTTGCCTGAGTATCAGAGTTAGACTAAACCATATGCAGGTAAGACAAACCCTGCCTACCTTTTCAAGACCATCTTCTTTGAGACTGATGATATCCAAATCAAAATCTGTCCGTAAACCACTAGTTTTATTAAAGACAATTCGTCCCGTTAATCCTTCCCATTGGGCCTGTGGAAGGGAAAAAAAGTAGCAGGGTTGTTACTTGGTATCATAAATAATGTTTTGCTCTCCGCTATATGTTCTTTTCATTAGTCCTTATACTGGTTCTTTTTCCCCAAAGAGCATGATTAATTAATAATCACCTCCGTCACTATTCAGACTGCAGATGGAACTGGAGATTTTCTTAATTCTCTTGCAGTCCTTGCTACAATTTTTGTTTGCACCTTTTGTGTTCACCAGCTGTTGCAGGACATGATGACTCAGTAGAAAACTGCTTGCATTTATCATGGCATCCTTGTGTGCTGCATTTATCCTTGTAGTGCTGATAAATGCCAGGCTGCAGGGAGCCTGAGTTTGGGACAACTTCCATCAAGCTCATAAATAATCCTGTTTTGCATGAACCTGCTGATGCTTCCAAGGTGCATGGAAGCTAAAATGTCCTGAACGCTTCCCTCCCTCCTTTCAGATGGAAAGTGGAGCAGAAGAGGCCACAAGCTTGTCCATGCTAGCAGGATCTGTCGTTTTGAAACAGGAATGGGAATCTGGTGGGAGCGTGCTGTGTCAGTACCCCTGGTTCAGTTTTGGGCAGTATAAGCACAGGGCAGGTGCCCATTGGGGCTGGGGAAGCTCCGTTCCTGGAGATTTTCAACACTTGACTGGACGAGGTCCTGCATAGCCTGGTCTGACTTGGGAACTAGTCCTGTTCTGAGCAGGAGCGTGGGGTAAAGCTGTCCAGATTAGTTTCAAGCAAAATTATGCTATGACGTGTTTCTTTTCCATTCTACACTTTGCAGCACCACCAGAATTAATCTTTCTGATTTAGGAGGTGAGAGATCCCCAAATATCAGGCACTAGCTGTGTTAGCAGAGCAGGTTCTAAGGCACAGCATGGTGTATGATGCCTGCTCTGCCCAGGGACAGTGCTAGGACATGCTATGAGCATCCATCCCGAGGAGGATGCTCCCGTAAGGGTGCCGGGCTGCTGACACGGTTTACTGCTTTCCAATCGCATCTCAGCAGTGGAGAGCTGGGACTCGGGCTCTTT